TAATCTCGTGTCATTGAAGCCAGTGTAAAAATTAAACTCTTTAAAATGTTTTACCCTAGCAGCAGTGTGAAAATTGAAAACTTGTTCAGAATTACAGCCAGCTTCCACAAAGAGAGTAGTTTTCAACAAACTGGTTTATGTTTGCATGCTTTATATGCAATATAAAAACATATTAAAGCACTCCAACGCAAAGCTATCTGCCTGTGGCGTTGAACCAGGCTACCATTTCAGAGTGCTTTCCCATGGCGAAGAACCCTCTTATCTTGATGAAAGGTGAGGAAAAACTTGAACAGTTTCGGCGCAAACTAGATGAGATTGTTAAAAGGGTTGAGCTTTAAAGGTGAACTGAGAGATTTGCTTTTCTGAGACTTTGTTTCTGGTTTTGATTTTTGTCTTTTCCTTCTGGACTAGTCATTGATTCCACGGGCATCTAAACCAATGAAAGGAGATACTCTGACGTTGCAGGGTAATATGAGACATCATCAAATGTTTCATCTAAAATGTAGGGCTCTGACTTACTACTTGATGACACAACATTCATTTTTCTTTCATTCAGGTCTCCCCACTAGTAACTGTTAGTGTAGGAACACAACTATGAGAGTACCGTATGAAACCAGATGTCCATCTATGCCAGTATCTTGTGTCTGAGAGTAGCCAGTAAGTGCTGCCTTTGGAGAAATTTTGGCAACCATATAGTAATACTTACACAGTGTATTCTCCCAGCTTCTCGTGACTTCTGACTTCATAAGCCAGATGCAGTGCCTTTGCATCCTTATCAATACATTTCCATTGAAGCCTACTAAGTACAGTGACATTACCTCTTTTTGCCCCTGCGCTTTAAGGAGAACTAGGTTTTCTTCCAAGTTTTTCTTGAGACCTTTTTGAACATATTGTAGAATATCCCCATGGATCTTCTCTGGCATTTATCATTTTATTCATTGCACGAGGTGAATGCATTCTTCAATGAGAATGTGAAAATAAGAATAGAAGAACTTTGTAACTGTACAGACACAGTAATGGACATTGAACTGCTGATCACTGTTGGTATGTTTTGTTCTCAAATCTGCATCCTTATGGATTGATTCCGTTATACATACTCCTTTTAATTTTCTCTCTATTTTTTTTTCACATCTTTTTTGAGAATCAAAGAGCTACTGAAGGACTAAACGGTTGTCTAGTAATTTAGCTACTGAAGGACTAAATGGTTGTCTGCTAATTTAGCAGCTGCATGGATCTTTACATAGTAAAATTACTGTACAAAAGTTGATCCTCACAATAGAAGTACGTTCTTGTCCCCATTCTGCGGGTGTCCCAAACGCTGGGAGGGAGAGATTTAAGTATTGTTGTATTGTTATCCAAGGGCAGAGAGGCACTAAGAACACAGGAATGCACAACTTAGTCAGACGCGTGGTCAGTGCTCTTGTCAACAGCAGCGTAGGTGGAAGATGCTGTTCAGGGAAAGCAAACAAATCTGGCTACTTTCTGTAATCCGTTCCGCTCCTTCTCCTGCAGCCTCCATAGTTGCTATACTAGGATGTCAAGGGGATATCCCTGCCAGCTACTCCATGGACATGCTGTCCATGAGTGTGTTTTTTCTCCTTGCTGATGTTATTTCCCTCCGTAACATCCTGTGGCAGCAAGCTCCAGAAGTTCGCTACTGGCTGTGTGAAGAAGGGGTTTCTTTCTTTTGTTTTAAACTTATCCTCAACTGGTTTCATCAAGTGTCTCTAGTTCTTGCATTATGGGATTTGAAGAAAAAATTGTTTTGTTGTGCTGGAAATTCAGTTACTGCTGTTCATACTAAAATGTACTGTCTTCTGTTTGAATGCAAACAATAAAAATTAAGCAGTTATTTGTAGCTGTATTTTGACATGCACACACCTTCTGTATAGTAGTGTAGTGAGTTTCCTTCCTTCGTAGAAAGTTTTAGATTTGTTAGATGTAGCATTTATTACTTTGTATTTTATATTTGGACTGTCAGCTCTTTCCCGTTTGCTAACGTGAGAGGAAGTCTGTTGTAAACTTGGCTTTTAAAAAACTATTTTGCTTGTGCATACCTGTCTTGGGTGGGAAAAAGGCTGAGGAGAGCTGTGTTCAGTTCATGGCTATGCCACAGGCTCCCTTGTGTTATTGGTTCCTTTCAGTATAAGTTTTTGTGGCTGAGCTTTCCCTGCCTAGAGTGGAGTTAGTATTAGCTTTCTGTGGGTCAGGGCCTGTCTTCAAATTTAGAAGGTGTAGTAGGTAAGTGGTATAGAAATACTGGTACTAGAAATACTGGTACTAGAATGTTAGGAATGAACCTGCAAATGAAAGATTGCACGTTTATGATAAAACAGATGGTTTAAATATACACAAATGTAAATAATGAAGAAAAAAATCTTGTAAGCTATTCATGGTTTTTCACCTTCAGAATCTAGGTTGGATTTGACTAATGTGATGCTTTTAAAATAACGCGTTATATTGTCTGAACATTAGTGCAAAGCAGATGGTATCAACTTTCTGTCCACCAGTTGAGCCACTCCATCTAAGCCACAATTTATAATAGTTTATGCTATTCTGATCTCTCTTCTGAGGAGAAAGTGCTGTGCATACCAGAGTGATGGTTTTATGGTGTTGGCAAATATTTGCAAGAGGCTAAGTTGAGTCCATCAGACTTCTGTTTGCTTGTGGGCTAATCCCAGTTTGAATCTAAACCTCCCCTGCTGAAAGATGCACTCTGTTTGTCTGCGTGGCGCTTTGAAAGGATTCATGTTTGAATTTTTCGGTTTCTCCTTCTGGATCCAGAGTCAGAAATTGCTAGCTGGCTGCTAGTCGCAGCAGATACCAATGTTATGTCTTGTAAGGAGATCTGCTGGAGCCAGGATAGTCCGCATTCCTGTCTGTCACTGGTTCTTTTCTGGTTAGAGAGCTCACTGAGAAGTAAAACGTAAAGTGATAAAGCAGTGGAGAAAAGCAGGATTTTGTGCTCCTTTTTGTGCTTCTTTTTTGTTTTGTTTTTTAAACTTAATCAAGTGTAAAAGTGGTCTGAAAAGAAATATAGATGGAAAGGGCTGTGAATTCCTGAACTGCCTCAGAAGTGTCCGTATGGTATCAGAGCAGTGCAGACCCGCCTGAACCAGTATACCAGTTTTCTATGGTGAGCAGTAATGAGTGTTTAACGAGGATCGTAAGAACCTGGGTGGACAGTGAGTGATGCTTCCCCTGGTTATAATCACCCAGTTCCCATCCGTCAGTGCTTACCGTCCTCCTGAGCCTGGAGACTGTGTTAGGGCTGCTGGGTTCGTGGACTTATCTTCTATTGCCTAGCCTAAACCCCTTTTAATTTGTTTGAAATTTTTGCCTTTTTGACATCCTTGTAGTGTGTGTGTTCCTCTGCTGTTTTGCTTGTTGCTACTGGCTACACCTTGCACGTAGTGTCAGGCCTGTGGCAGAGGGAGGAAAAGGAGAGATCGTTTGGTTGGTTGGTGCTTGGCACAGAGAGTAGTGCATGAGGGAACGTGGCTCTGATGACTTAGCTTTGGAGCAGAGAGAGATTTAGGAGCCCTCACCATGTCAGTGTTGCCTGCAAGTTTTGCAACCTGTTGCATGTTTGGGGTTGAATTAATTTAGAACGAAACAAACAGAAATCCAAAGCATGCCCTGAAAGAAGGCTCTTGAAAGATTGTCATTATAGGGAGGGAACAGACAAACATTGCGCTACAAATCAGTGTGTGTTCATCACTTAAAGATATCATGAAAGTTAATATGTTTGCTTTGGTTTTCTTGGAGATGTCTTTGTGGCAAACATTGTGGCAAAAATTTCATTCTTTTTCAACATGCTTCTCAGGTTTTCCCCACATGACTTAACTATTTTTGGTAGCAACATCTTCTGTGTGGTCGCTTGTTACTCTTTCAGTGAGGTGACTTTGTGTTTTCTTTTGGGCTCCACTTTTGCTTGGGAGCAGTTTTCTGGGAGCAGCCACAGACCAGTCCTTTATTGCAGTGTTCCCAAGAAGGTGGACTGGCTAAGCAGCTGGTGCACAGAGATTGCTGTCTGCCACACTGATACTTTCCCCTTGTACTCTTCTGTCCGTCTGTCTTTTGGTCAGAACAAAGATTGTAAGTTCTCTGGGGCAGAGAATATTGTCTTCTTGCAACACAAGGCCTAGCATGGTGAGGTTTTAGTCCGATACTGGAGCTCTTAGGTGCTACTAGCCTAGTACTACTACCAGTAAAACATGAGCTTAATCAAGTAGTAATTAACAAAATGTTGAAAGTAGGGGGGAGAAGCTTCCATTCGAAACTCCTGAGTTCTTCATGCATATCAGTTTAAATAGCCAAGAACTAAAATATAATTTTAAGCACACTTAACTAAGTATTGTTTATATGCTGACCTCCAAAAAGGGAGGTGCTATGAGAAACACATTTTGCAAAGGCTCCCAAAGTTTGCAGTCCTGGTTGAGGGTCCCCAGTGCAGGGTCTCATGAATTAAAGAAAAGACATTCTACTTTGAAAATATGAGCTTCCCAAAGTTGGGAGAATGAACTTTAATGGGTGAGATCAGACATGCGTTTGTTCACGTTTGGTTGTAACCTTTGTAATGTTCCCACGTATTTTAACCTGATAAAGAGATGAGATTTTCATTAATGTTTGTCATCTATTTTGGTAACTAGCATATAGAAATCTCTGTGCTTTAGTTATTTGGCAGTTCAGTCTTCCACAAAATACTGCATAGCTGAGGTCTTTAAAAGGAAAAGAGGAGAAAAACTTTTCCAGTCTTTGTATCTCAGAAGTGTAAAAAGGCGTATAGCTGCTCAGAGCAAACGCATGCCCTCAGCATAGGTTCTTGATGTAGACTGGCTTGTGTGGATTCAGAACTTTCACACCTTAGGAAAAAGGAAGTGGTTCAGAAATGGAGTAGAATGACTTCATAGACGTGTTGTAGGTTTTTGTGCCAAAAATGGGGTGCCTAAAATAAAATTTGTGTTCTTCTATTCATAACCTTTTTAATCTTCCTACAGACCTACAACAGCTGTGCCAGACTGTGCTTAAACCAGGAAACAGTGTGTCTAGGAAGCACTGCTATGAAGACTGAAAATTGTGTGGCCAAAGTAAGTAACAGAATGGCTTTGGTTTTGAGGTTTTTTTTTTTTTGGCATTTTGTTACTGTAAGCAAAGAAAAACTCTTGTTGAAGTTACACTTGGGAAAAATATTCAAATAGAAAGCAAATATTTTAGATAGACTTTGCCAGCTCTGAAAGCTCTACAGTGAAGAATAGAAACGTACTGTTTTCCTCTCTTGGAAATGATTATTTAAGTCCTGAGTTGTCTGTTTCATTCTGCTATGCAAGTAATAGGCTTTTCCAATGGGATGGTCTACTCCTGCCGTGTAATTAGCTGTGGCAACCTCAAGTGGTAAATGTCCAGATATATTCCAAAACTACTGCATGAGAACTCTTTGTATCATGATTCCCTTTCTTAGCTACCGGGGGGATGTGCAGAAGGAACTGTAAGGAAAGGCCTTTTAATTAAAATAAAGTGAATGCTGTATTTAGGAGAAGGGGAAGAGGGAAATATGGCAGCGGGAGTGGGACTAAAATGGATATATTAACCCATACGAGAAATGTGAATGGAAGCATTGAGATGCCAGAATAAAATAAGATACATGCACGACTGGTTGTGAATGGAAAAGATTCCAACCATGATGCAACATGTATAAAAAGGCTGGCGCAAAGGATGCGTTTAACCTTGCATCAGCTTCGTATTTCCACTGAAGGGAAGTTTAGAATGGGCATGCAGGACAGCTCAGTGCATGCAGCCGTCTGTTACCAAAACCAGCTGACATTTTGTTGCTCCTCTGCCACCACAACCAGACCACTCTAAAGCTTGTTCTCTCTTCCATTTAGTTATTCTTTGGATCTTCCTGAAGTTCCTTTTTTCTCATACTTCTGAATGGTTGTTAAATGTGCCTCATCCCTTCAGGGCCCACTTTTGTGTACCTTTAAAATAATTTCTCAGGCTAAGTCTTTGTGATCGTTTTGCTGGTGGGATTTGGATGTCCCATCACTTTTATTTTCTGTCAGTGAAGATCAGAGAAGTTTTTCCTGGTGCTTGCAGGTAGCCTAGTGCTTGTAAACTGTGCTTGGCGTGCAAAGTTACTTTCTAGGGGAGAGGCACTTCTGAGAGAAGTGAGTGCAAAGTGCTGATATTTAATCCCAGCACCTACGTTCCCAGCTCCAGATTGCTGATATTGCACATTACTTCCCAAGGCCTCTTATGATACAAAATAGGTGAAACTCTAAGCGAGTCACCAGAGCAGCTCCTACTGAAATATATGGGCCTACAGCATCATTCTCATGTCATGAAGCAGGTCACAGCAAGCTCCAGTAAACTCGTGCAACCCACCTGCTTTGTACCGTCTTGTTTGACCTGATTGTCTTACTAAGGAGCAAGAATGTGTGAGAACTACAACTGCTAATTTAAGTGATGCCTCTTTTAATTGAAGTAACATCCCTTTGAAGTGGTAATATCCCAAATTGAAAACTTTCCTGAAATCATATTTTCGGTGGAATTGTGTGAGAGGTGTGGGGAGGGATGGAGGCAGGTCTGGCAAGACTTGTTTCATATTATTTAGGATGAATTTCAACTGTGGCCCTGGAGCTGGAAAAGTGTATGCTTTAAAATATCATCTCGTGTATGTTATCCTACAACTTGTATATAAAAAAAACGAAAAAAAAGGGAGGCTTTTCTGGGGATATATTTTCGCTAGTACTAGCTTGTGTCACCATTGTACTCTTTTTCTTTCCCTTTCCAGCTACAAAACAAAGTGAAATAGGTTCTAAGAAAGCGTATATCTTTCAAATTCCAAGTGTTGAGGCATTTATAAATCCAGTTAGATGCAGATGGCTTAGTGATGGCATAGGCAAATGGCACAACTGTTAAATGTACCCTAGGTGAAGGGCTTAAGTGGGATTTAGGGAGTTCAGAGGCCTTCTCTTAGCCTTCTGCACATGGTGAGTTTTATCCTCTGTGATTGATGTGTTCTTACAGCCTTGAACATTAAAATGTTTTGTTAAGAGAGTGAATACTGGAAAGGATGAGCGTGGTTTTCTTTATCTGCAGCACTTTTCCAAAAGTATTGTAGGATATTTTTGCCCTTTTTTTTTTTTTTTTTTTTTTTTACTGGTAGAGAAAGATGAAAAAGATTACTTTGGAGATCACAATTTACCTTTCCTGATTTTGTCGTGCAGTATGAGCTCTGGCTGGGAATCACAGTCAGCATTATCACATGCTTGTCAGAAGTGTCAGTTAGTCTGCAGGAGAGAATGTTTTTTTCTGAAAACAGAATTCCTGATTCTGCACCTACTTTCAAGAAAGAAAATGGTGTGCTGTGACGACTATATTAATGCCATTTGCTGATTTTGTGCTTGATGTTTCTAAAGTTTGTTCGAAGAATGACATGCAGTTTCCCTTGAGGCCACACACATCAATACTGAGATATCTTTTTACAGACTGAACCACTGCCCATCCATCAAGCTTTCTTGTGAATGAGTGCTTCTGTGCAGACCTTCAGCCTGTAACTTACCAACCTACTAACTGGCGTTCTTTCTAAAACAGAGGAAAAATAATGAAGCTTAAAATCAATATATACATATTTTCATGTGTGGAACGAGGCATAAGGCTGCTGTCTTCTGGCCACTTGAGGAAGCATAGGTTTGTTAGGAAACCTTGTCTGCCCGGTCTTTTATTTGATGTTGTGCTTACTGTCTGCAGCCAGGTGCACAGTGGCTTTTGCAAGCCTCTTCATTATCTAGTTTTATTTAGACATTTAAAAATAAAACCGAAACGTCAAGTTATAATGAGTCTCTGTATGTTGTTCTTAGCTTTGCTTTTCTGCTATTTATTTGTCCTCTGAAACCCCATTGTCTACAACTTGGACATATTTGGGTACAGTCAATTAAATAAGGAGCAGTAGCAGTTGTTTCAAGAGTGCGTATGTTTTGGCTGAAGAGGAGGGGCTACATGTTTTGGCACACAGATGTCACCTGTGTGATCTGCAGCATCAGTTCTCTTTCCTTCTCAGCAGTCTTTCCATCCATCTTTTCATATCTTTTCACCTATTGCCTTTGAGCGTTCAACAAGTGTGATATATGTTTAGCCTAATGTTTTTAAAAAGGAAGTGCATTTTCTAGTTGTTTTTTCAACAGACACACACACACAAAATCCTTCTGTTTGTCCCTTTACAAACCACAAAATGTCTAAGAGAGGGTTTCTTTCATGATGCCACTGGTGTGCAACTACAAGTGGATGGCTTTCTCAGGAATTGATGCTATGTGCTTAAATAAGGTAGAAATGTAGCATGAACGTGAGCTCCAAGGACAGGGTGTTTGGTTTTAATGAGGCTTATTGAACTCTGGCCAAATGAGCATCTGTTCCTATTGTTTGTTCCATATTTTATAAGCCAGTATCTTCAGGCCAGATAATGGTGTTGGTGTGTGCTTCATCCTCAATTAGAGAGGGGCACAGTTAAAAATCCCCTGGCATCTGGTATGTCACTAGGACTCTTGTGATGCTCCTTGGTGTGCAAACAAGTTTCTCTTCCGTTCTGCATCCAGGGCCACTTCAGTTCTGTGGTGACCTTCACGCTTTTTATCTGCTGTTCAGTGAGGGATGCTCTAAAGTGTCGTCAGTCTCCTTGGCTGAGTCTTTGCTAGGATGGATTATATATATTCCTGATTTCAAAGAGTGGTCTTATCTTTTCACTCTTGCATAACAGGGACTGTATTAGGCTTGAGCTTGGCTGTTCAGTTAGAGTCTGTTAGATTTTGTACTTCCCTGGATCATAGAAGTGTCCTAATTCAAAGTGCTCTTTGCTTTCCAGCAAGAGGCTGGTGTATAGCTGACCTCACAGGTTTCTACAGACGATACACATTTTCTGTATTCATTAGAGAGGTCTTTATTTTTTAGTAACTCCTGCAGTCTGTTCCAGTTTGCCTGTATCTGCCATATAAAGAAGTGTTCTCAGTTTCATTTTGCCCGTGAAATCCTTTGCTACGTATGCCAGGGACAGGCAACCTGCAACACATCTGCCAAAGGCAGCGCAGAGACACGTTTGGGATGGTGTGCAGGATGCCTGGGTTTCTGCTTAGCTCTGAACTCAGCGGCAGCTGGGAGAGGTTCACTCTCCCTGTCTACCATCTGAGGCAAAGGAAATCGGAGGAAGAAAAATACAGTCTGCACCACCCTTGAAAGATCAGACTTCTCTTGCATATTATCGTTGGTTCTCCTTTTTAAAGCCTCAGCAAACCCACGGCCCTATGTTTGCATTCCTAAATTTACTCTTGTGATAGGAAAATGTCCTATTTCACAAAGCCATATATTATTTTCTTATTTCTTGATCATATATTTATCTCAGAAGGAATTCGCAGGGTCCTTATATGAAATGTTATATCTTCCAGGGAATCTTCTTTGATAGCTGCTCTTCATATTTTTAAATTCGTACACTGTAGTGATTACACTATTGAACTAGGAATCTATAAAGAGTTCATACCCTTTATTTCTAGCGTTGTGATTTTATTCTCTGTGGCCATGATGGCTCTTCTTGCTCCTCTTTGAAAGGGAGCTGAATGACACTATCCGTACAGGAATGTTGTGAAATTTGACTGTATGACGCTTTTGAGATCCTTGGATAAAAGCTCCGGCTTAAGCACACAGTAATGTTGTTCTGCCTGCTCAGCATCCCGTTTGTAGCATACGGGGGGACAGAGCTATGTTCTGCTCGGTTCTGGAAACACATGACGAGGCTTGGCACTTCAAGCGTGCTGAAAGAAATTTTATTTCAAGGATGCTTGGTATTATTTAGCTATAGCTGTACTTTCTATGTTCAAGGATGATTCAACTAAAGCAGGGAGTGGTGGAAGTTGTTAGTAATTGAAATCTGCCTTCCTTTGTGAGTTCTTTCTGCATGACTACTCCTTCAGCATTTTTAGAATAAAAATAATCCGCATAGTAATAACATATTGAGCTTAGAATTTTTATATGAATTCAAAGGAGAAACCACAAGTACTCGTTAAAAAGCAAACATTTAGGGTTCCATGCTGAATGTACCAGT